CTACTGTGTCATTCTTAATTTCCATTTCTTTTCTCATGCTGTCAAGCATCCTTACGATCAGTATTCTGAACTCTATATCTGATAGATTGCTTATCTCCATTTCATTTCATTCTTCTTCTGGAGAATTCTTTTGTTCTTTCATTTGGGGCTTGATTTTTTTATCTCCGAATTTTGGCTGCCTGTTTGGATTTGTTTCTACGTTTTAGGTAGATCGGCTAGGACTCCCAGTCTTTTGGATGGTCTCTGGTGCAGGCCAATGTCAGAGGCTGTTTGTGACTGGCCTTGAGGACCCTGTCTGAAGTTTTTCACACTCCACTGCTTCTGGTTTCCTCTGCTGGTGCTGGCTGTTTGAACAGGACCAAGATGTGCACCAAGGTCTGCTTTTCCTGGGTCCAGAAGCAAATAAGGCAAAGACTCAAAGCACCCAGAGGCTGATTGTTATCGTGTCTTAAGGAGCCTCAGGCTGTAGAGACTCCACAGGGTGGGGCAAGAGATTTGCCAACAGGATGGAGAATTGCTTTCCCCCAGGCAAAAGCTGCTTGGAAGGTAAATGTCTGCCTGAGAAAGATGTCCTCTGCAGTGTGGGGGAATGACTCAGCACAGGAATCCAGATGGCTGCCCTCTGAGCGCTAGTCCACAAGCCAGCACCCCTGGATTCTCCTCACACAGCTCCTGTCCACTCTGCCCTCCCTGTGCCGGAGCCCAAGGTGAGCGGCTGCACACGAAACTTTGTGTGTTGGCCCTTTAAGAGGGTGCCTGCATTTCCAACCGTCTCTCCCTGGCAGACAGAAACCCTGCTGCTTTTCACAGCAGATGTTATGTGGGCACCTTTCTCGGTTCTGGTGCTCTGGGCTGGGAGGCCCAGCTTGGGGTTTAGGCCCCAGAGTCCTCGTTGGGAACCCCCCACATCTGAGATCTCCCTCCGGACCTTCAGCTGCTGCCTGTGGGAGCCCAGCAGCCCTCTTGGGCCTCCACACTTCCTACCAGTCTCTGTGTGGTCTCCACCTTTCCTCCTTGGTTATGAGGGTGCTCTCCAGCTCGTCTTCAGCTGCAGTTGATTATTCAGGGTGGAATTTCTATATTTCAATTGTAATTTCATTGTGGTCCTGGGAGAGCGTCAGTGTAGCTTCCACTCAACCTGCTACGGTCTTGGGATCTCCCTGCATAGACACCTTTGACTTCTCTAGCAAGTGACCCAGCTTTGAAAGAGAACAATTTGCCCATTGCGGACAGGATTAGGAATAAGGGAAAACATTGCAAATAGTTTTGTCAATTCTTGTCTTGCAACTTTAGAGTAGGGTTATTTAGAGTAGAATTATTTAACAAATATACTTTTTTGCAGTTAATTTTGTTTGTGTTGTACATGTTATCACTGATTTTTTTGCTGCCAAACTGTTTAGTGGTTAGCTCATTCGATACTGCCTGATTTTTTTTTTCTTTTTTTTTTTTTTTTTAAGAGAACCTTTATTTCTCTTCACTTTGCTATCATAAGATTTTTTAAAAAGACTGGCAACGACAGTTGTTTGATTTTGGCAAATTTAGTACACTTTTCTTTTGGCAAATTAAAACAGACGCTTCTCTCTGGTCTGGAGTGAATGTTCAGGGGTGGGAGTGGAGACTGATGAGGAAGGGTTAGTGCCGGGGAGGAAATGGAGGGAAGAGCATTGGCCCAGGAACTGGAAGACACTGGTTCTGCTCCCAACTATTTGCAGGCTTTTGAGCAAATCTCTTAACTTTTCTATATCTCGGGTTCCTGAGGCTCAATGATCTCCAGGTACCTTCTAGACTCCTAAAATTCTGAATCAAAACCCCAAGCATGAGTTTGAGAATTTGTACATTTAAAAACATATTCCCATCAATCTTATTACTGCTTGTTAATGTGAGGTTATATTTTTATTTTGCAGACTTGTTTTGGACTGAATTTTGTGATGTTTGTCATCTTTATTATGGAACTACCTCAATTTCATGAAGTGCTTCCTCTCCTAATACACTAGATGGCACTATAGGCGAGGCAAATAAAATTGGGGGGGGGGGGGGGAAGA